GAAAGCAAATATATAGTATATATAATATAAAATATGTAGCGTTATTTAAACTTTATATAAGCACGGAAGATGTTTAGTCACATTTCCAATGCAGACCTATCACTCAGAACAATTATAATTGGATTCCATTTGCGTATCAGGAAACCAACAAAAACCAAGCAAATTCACTTCTAGGCAAGTTTTAATTTGGAACCTGGTTATAAAAAGACGGTTGAAAAATAAATGTCAGAAGCGTGAAGATGGAGAAGATGAACCTATGTTGGTTACTAGGTAAAAAAGTGTCAGTGAAAACTTACAAATGACTGGACATTTAGTAATTATCCAAATATCTACTGATATTGTTAGGTTATTATCATAGTAGACAAAAGCATAGACAGATGCAGATAAAATTATACACATAGTTATGATGTAGAGATTAGTTAATAGGAATGAATGTGAATAATTATTTTATGGAGTTAGTTAATAGAGTATGTTTTGTTATACTATCATGTAAATTTCCAGTGGTTAGTTGTTTTCCGGGTTTTGACAGTGTTACGGGAGGTACTGCTTTATGCGTGGAGCTGCGGCCGATCTATTTGCATGACTGCGGGAGGATAGGATTCATGCAATGAAGATGTTGGCACACTTAGGTTGTTGATGTGTGAGTTCGCTGTGTTGACTTGAGTTTTTGAATGTAAGTTTTAGTGAACACACTGAAAGCATAGGCTTGCAGCTACAGAAATGATTATGGGCCCATGATGGTGACGAGGTTCCAAGCTCAATTTGTGACTGGAGGTCTGGACACCAAATTAAGATAGATAAAATATAACGATTAACTTCTGATGCAAAAGCGAGATTAAATTCTAAAAAATATAGTTAGATGGTATTGATAAGGATCTCAAAAAGATTAATAAATAGAACCACATTTATATCTTTATATCTAAGGATGTAAAAATTTCTTACAGATTTTTACTTAATTTCTTTTACGACGAATTTTGCTTTAAATACTTCTTTATTCACTAGAAAACAATACCTTATAACTCCACTTTAGTCAATAATTATACTATTGTAAATTTTGATTATAAAATCGATGCAAGTGCAAATAAATCTAGTTTATATATATTTAGTATGAATTAATTAGGCGCTAAATCGACTAAGAATAAAATTATACAATACTTAATTGAATTTATTAACATAGAGTAATATACACTTTACTATATATTAAGTTAATTAAGTATTTTATTTATCAGAAATATGCAGATTAGATATTTAATGCTGATCGTAAATAGATATCATTGTTGTATATCTTTCTTATTATAATTATGTATTTTATATAAAGAAAATAATTTATTTAGTAAAATATATATAATACAATAAAATGCTTACTTTGTGCAATTCATTGGCAATACCCATTGTATAGGTGCCATAATATATAATACGAAGAATATTTGTATTATCGATACCCGTGTTAGGTAAATTTATTTTTAAAAGTCTAAATAATATTAAAAAAATCCAGTTTTTCAATACAATATAATGACACATTAATGACATTTAGAATGTTTTCATCGGTATTCCATATCATATTTACGATGCAGTCATTTCCATAAAAATTTGTGTAGTCTGCATGGAATACATTTCGATTCGTTTTATTGTGCCAAACTTTTTTTATTAATCATGTCTCATACATTAGAAACTAGAATTTGTAGTCTTTAACTAATTTTCAATTGTTAATTTTTATATAAATAGTGCATGATCAAAATCGATTCACTATCAGTTTGCATTTGCTTTCAATAAAAAACAGATAAAATGAAATTCATCGTAAGATCTAAAGTTCTACTCTCTAGTTTTAGAACCAAATTTTAGTTTTCATATTTCCAGATTGTGCTTGCCTGCCTCTGCGCCTTAGCTTTTGCTAATGAGGATGCTAATGTCTTGAAGAATGACGCAGAAGTTAACCCAGATAGCTTCAAATATGCTTATGAATTCGATAACCACATCAAGGCTGTGCAGGAAGGTATCTTGAAGGATAAGGATCTCTGGTTTGTCAGTGGCGAATACGAATACATTTCACCTGAAGGCAAGACTGTTAAGGTTTCCTATGTTGCTGACGATACTGGCTACCATCCAAAAGTATTCGTTTAAACAGTTCGTTGAATTTTTTTAAGAATAGAAACAAAATAAAAAAATATTTGAATGTATTTTGCTTGGTTTTTCTAAAATTCAACTATATTTTGGATATATTTAGAATTGTTTCATTCTGCTTCAATATGGGTCAATAAGTATATTAACTAGAACTTTTCCATTCTAAAGCAATTTTTTCTTTTGTCAATATTACTCAACTTATAAATAACAAGCTATGCTCCATAAGTGTGGATGAACTAAGATTTCTTCATATAAATTTTCGTGTTAATCATATTAATATAACTACAGGAATTCAACTATATAATATATAAAACTATGCAATGATCTAGGATAATAGTTTTAGTCGCGATGGAATTTCTTCTTGTGTTCAAAATCGTATAGTTGGCGATCCATGTTGTTATCATATAGCCGGAGATGAGATTATTATTTTAAAACAAATTTTTATGATTGATAAAAGACTTATATATGTATATATATATATTTTTGTAAGACTTATATATGGAATGTCTGTCACCTTTATAATGGAATGTCTTTATCTTGCCATGCCTAGTCATTTGAATAGGAAGATCATGCATTGTATATTTCTTCTATCTATCACCTACTGCTTTTCAAGTTAAACCATACACTTCCTTTTTGAGAGTTTTGTTATAACTAATCCGGTCATGAATATATCCAGTTATTAAACCAACCTGTGCGATTGGTACGCTTTAGATTAGTTTTTAAAAATCTGTGTGCTGTCCGCCAACCGGTGTACCTCGTTGACTTTCATAGTGAAAAGTCTTAGTCTTGTTAGGCCTGGGCATTGGCAGAGAAAGCGTTGAATTTAAGTAGTTATTTAACAGCATTATTCGAAAATATTTAAAATAACAAGTTCTTGATATCCATATCAACAGTTATGTTCAATATTCCAAGTCCTAATAACTGTGAATTTTTTTTGTAGTAGATTAAGATAGTATTTAGAGGCATGTTAATGGAGCCAATTAAAAGCTTCAGTATTAGAGTAGTTATTCAAAGACAGATTTCACCAAATATAGCAAATGGGTGCATAACCATCCAGTATATGATTCACAGAAGGTACGTGTTAACTACCAAACTGAGAGTAAAGCTTCCAAGGATGTATAATTAATCTTCCTAATACAAACGATATCTTTGTACATCAATTTAACATATTTCTTCTTTTAACAGACGTCCGTCTTATATTCAACCTCAGTACTCTTACTCGAAATAATGGAGAATTTAATATATATGTTCTTCCGAGAGTATAATATCTGGATGCAATAAGGCTTGAATAAAAGATATTTAAGAGAAGTGTAAACTTCTCTTAGTGTAAAGTGAAAAACTAGATTTGAATTTTGGCTTTGGAAGCCAAATCTTCTTCTTCTTATTTGGCACTACAGTCCAGTTTAAACCTTGGCCTCCCTGACGATGTGCCTCCATCGGTCCCTATCTTCTGCTGTCTTGGAATATCGTGGTAAAAAAAAACTGTGGTCCGGCTAGGGTGCTTTATGCGGCATTATTTTGACTATATATTGTCAATACCATAGTATCACAAAAGATTTCTATGAACCTAAACTAAAAAAATTTTGGAAAACTCTCTGATTTCAATTCAAAAAAAAACTTTTTTAATTTGATTAAAAATTTTAAGGGTCAAGTTTATATGAACGAAACCAAATAAATATCTATTTTCAACAATTGACAGAGTCAGAATTCATTTTTGACTTACTGTTTCTTAATAACATTTATTCACAATAATCCATAGAATCGTATTTAACTATACGCTTTAAAAAAAATCGACCCAAATAAATTTATGTCTCATTTTTTATTTAAGAAGACAATAGTTTTTATTTTTTTTAATTAATTAGTTATTTTACACAGGTGTATTATATTTAAAATTGGAATCATGATAAAAAACTTGCATAACTCCTATCCTATATCTTTTCTACTGAACTCAGTGATAATCAATTTCCCATAAATTCGATTTCAAAAATATCATAACTCAAAACCAGGAAGTTCAATTTATTATGAAATTAAAAACCAATATTTTTCGTTTTATAGCCAAATATATATATAAAAAACCAAAATGAATTTGAAGCTTTTGGAGAACTGACAACTTTTTATACAAAATCATTATTTATCCCGTATAATGTGGTGTGCGGCTGGTATACACATGTCCACATACCATATACACAATTCAGACTTAAGTGAATTGTTATACAAAAAGATACTATATTGTCTGCTTCTATGTGATAATTACCAGTTTACCAGTTTTTACTTCTGTCAGACGTTTTACTTAAATTTTGACGACGATTAAATAAATTAAAATCAATTAAAAATTCAAATAGTCAAACTGGTAAAAGCAACTCAGGCAAAAAGATACTACCAGTGCAGTTCTTCATAGATTTTTTTTCAGCGAAAATCAGTAAATTTTTGTATCTCATATTTTAAATTTTAATAAAATTCAAACTGAAGAGAACCCCAATTTCGAGCAATGAAGAATGCTTGCCACTCCTGCATTCAGTATAACCTAATATCAATAGACCATTCGGTGGGTAGCTAACAGCTGAGATATTTGTTTATGATCGTTTAACAAATTTTAAACAAATAAAAAAGTATCATAAATCAGTTAAATAAATATTCTTTGCTTTTTAAATAATTAAAATTGCCAAAATAAAAAACAAACCGAAAAATTAAAAAAAATTTGCATAAACATGGTGGCTTGCAAGAGGCTTTATTTGTTTTTTTTTTTTTTGTTTTGGATTTTAATGTCTTTAATGCGTTGACACAATTTTTTAAAAATATATTTTATTTTTGTAAAAACAAGTATTTAATAATATAAACACTTTTATATAAATAGAAATTCTAACGAAAGTGAAATCAGTTATTTGTGACCAACTGCAGTCAAGTCAAGTTAACTTCAAACAAAATGAAATTCGTGGTAATTTCTTATTTTGAAGTCCTCCCATCCCTACGAGATTGTGGCTAATGCATAATTTTTCTTCCTTAGATTCTCTTCGCCTGCTTGTTTGCTTTGGCTTTTGCCAATGAAGAAGCCAATGTCTTAAAGAATGATGCCGAGGTCAATCCAGACAGCTTCAAATATGCTTATGAATTCGATAACCACATCAAGGCTGTGCAGGAAGGTATCTTGAAGGATAAGGATCTCTGGTTTGTCAGTGGCGAATACGAATACATTTCCCCTGAAGGCAAGACTGTTAAGGTTTCCTATGTTGCTGACGATACTGGCTACCATCCAAAAGTTTTCGTTTAAGGCTGTTTTAAATTTTTTATATTTGAATAAATTGAATTAACGTGAAAGGCGACAATATTTTTAATTAATATAAAAAAACAAGGCATTTGCTTCTCTATTGAATTTTTGACAGCAGAACTCTTGAGTTTTACTTCCTTAGAAATTAAATTGTTTACATTGTTCTATGTTTAACAAGAAAAACACCTTCGATTTATCACCTACTGGCCTTATTGCTGGTAGCTACCTTAGTAATAGCTACCTTGCTGTTTTTTTTGTAGGAGGAATATAAATGCTTGCTTTACTGAAAATGTATTCAATATACTTCTATTTCCATTTTGTGATTTCACATTCCTACCTACACTTATATAGCTCGATTATCGTTTTTTTTATATAATATTTTGCTCCGCATCTTTTTCTCTTGCATGCCTCCAATAAAGTTTGTAGAATCGTCTATTCATATTTGAAAGAAAACATGTCAAAGACAAGCAAATGCAGATTTCATATATCAGTTCAACCTTATTTTGTTAAATCATTATCTCCCTATTTAAAGTATATGATTTGTTTGGTGGTGCATCACTATTTTTCCTCCAAGAAACCTGTTTAGAATCTAATCCAGTTCAAGTGAATACGAGTATAAACGATTGATTCTACTTCTAACGGAACGAAGTATTTATCAGTATATGTGAATTGACAGTACACTTCATCATACCTTCTGCTCAAAAAGTACTCGGATTTCGTAAATAAAACACACTAATTTAAATTTTATTCCAAATTTATTTTATCTCCTTCAAAATATGCTCCTTCTGAAGCGTTACACATATGCCAACGCTTAACCCAATCTTCCATACACTTTTCGTAGGCCCATGAAAGTATGGCTTTTAGTTCCTTCAGCGAATTCTCTTTTACCAATTCAATCGACTCAAAACCCTTACCACGAAGGGGCAATTTGAGTTTCGGGAACAGGAAAAAGTCGCACGGCGCCTGATCTGGCGAATATGGTGCCTGAGCGATGACAGTGGTGCCTATTTATTGATTATGGAGGAATCCGTGATTTGTATGTCAGTGTTAAATTCTGTTTAAGGGTGCAGTTCGAAATTGCGATAATAAGTTCCTGTTAGTTTCATCAAAATGTATAGAAATGATAATATCCATTCTTTATATTATCATATTACTGTAAAACAAAAACCAGGAACTGAATCCCTAAAAGAAACCAAAAAAACCATAATCTTTGCTGCCTCGTCAGCTCTAATTGTCAATACAAATCATTTTTTTCAATACAAAAAGTCTTCTAAAATTTAATTATCTCTATAATATCATCTTAATTAATATTATATTAATCGTTGTATAAATTTTTATTATGTATTAGACAATCTGTATTTATTCCTATTTATTCTATCAAAATTTAAATATAGAAATTCTTATTAAAGCCAAATCGCAAGTCGGTCTTTCAAAACACAAGATAATATTCATTAACTGCTCAAGTGTCTTAAGTTGTTGATTTTGCATATGTGTTTGTTGATAAAAACCATATTGGGAAGTCGTAGCCGGGATTATGCTTAGAAAGAAGTGTATCATACTAGAAAATAGTTTTTTGGTGGTGTTTATATCGTGTATTTTCTATAGACTATATTTTCTTAAGGGACGGCGAATCTCATCCATTTGCTCTTTCTAGATACACCACTAATTTTAGGCAAGACGAAGCGAAGAGGAGTCGGTCTTTATTTCTTCTTTTATTTTATTCTTCTATTATAGTACCGCAAGGAAGCCTGTTCTTCAAACAAGTTTCTCCTAAGTAGTTAATTAGAGAGTTCGCAACAAGAAACCATACGAATCCCAAATAAAGACATCTCATGCCAGATATTTTAAGGTTTCTCATATGAAGACCGTATACGCTAATTAAATGAAAATATAATTATGCTTCTCCTAAAAGTTGAGAACAGATTAAGCACTATTTTATATTAACCTTTAATCAATAACAGAACTAAATTACTTTCCTCTTCCATCGATAAAAATTCAATTACTCCAATGGACTAAGATTTAATTGGAATACTTTCCAAAAAAAAATGTAGTAGTTTCTAGTGGATATTTTAAATAAGCGAAGATAAGCGCCGTCAGAAATAAACAACTTCATTATATCAATTTTATCCTAATGACTTAGAACATATTTATTTACAACAATTCTTTACCTACACTTTCCAACCCATTCAAATACTTAAAACTAAATATTTATTCCTTTGATGGATGAGCTGCAATCCATTCCAAAGAGCGGAGGATGGCTGCTGGAATTGGTGGTGGAGTGGGCAACAATGGGTTGGCAGCATCAACATGATAACCATTTTCATCAGCGGTATAAGCCAAGGAAACTTGTTCGCCTTCAGGTGAGGTGTATGAGTATTGACCATTGACGACCCAGGTATCTTCTGCTTTCAAGTTGCCTTGTTGTTCAGCTTTGATGCTGTTGTCGAATTCATAAGCATATTTGAAGCTGTCTACATTGACTTCAGCATCGCTGCGGATGACATTGACGTCATTACCGGCGAAGGCTACGGCCAAAAGGCAAGCGAATACAACCTGAAAAAAAGAAATGAATAGATTAGATTTCACTTTAATCCGAATAGGTGCGATGTTTTTTTTTTGTATTGTAATCCTTGATATCAATTTGTATAATTGGGAAACTTACGAAGAATTTCATGTTGATTTTAATTGAGTTGTTTTGTTGATTTGTAGTGATCTACTGATGCTATCTTCCGATAGTCGAATGCCTTTTATACAAAAGTGTTAATTTTTTTTTGTTTTTGATTTCTGCGTAATTTGTATATTTCTTTGTTTTTTTTTTTCTTTTTTTGATTTTATTCAAATTTATTATTTATGTGGGATATAAAAAATTCAGCAGCGGTCAATACGAATTTACGGCAAATTCTTGTTTTTTCTTGTTTCTTCGGTGGTTTTTTGGGCAGACTTTGTTTTGTTTGAAATGCTCTTGGGGCCAATGTTTTTGTAAGTCATCATGCGTTGCTTTGTTTTCCTAATTATGAAATAATTTATTGATTTTGAATATGTAATAAAATAATTGAAAAAAAAATTATGAAAACATTTTCTGATGAATGAATTTTTGCACCTTGGAGTAAAGAAAGAGGAGTGCATTAAAAAAAGATAGATTATATGAAAAAGTTGTTGAGCCAAAAAAATTGGATTTGAATGAAAACAAGTTGCCAACATAAATGAAAAAATTTCATTGTATGTTAGAAATAGAATTACATTCCATTTATCACCTCAAAGAAGTTGCTCCAAATCGTTTAACGTCATAAAAGGAAAACCGCAAAAGGAATTAAAGGTCATACTTGTATATATCTATCTACCCACAACGTAAGGAGGATCTGCTAAAAGATAAACCCATGTCAAGCACCAAAAATAAAAAATATATTGTCCAAAAATCTTCTACTGGTTGGAACATCTGTATGGATAAGTTATTTTTGGTTCTAGTGTGAAAAACTGGCTATTAAGAATTTCTTTCTTTTCTTTTCTTTCTTCATGTGGTTTTTAGATAAATTCGGTTCAATTCAAAAATGTGATCGATAAAAGTAATCATCTTTCATCATAATATAACCCACGTATACGATATTAATAGAATAGGGTCACATTTTCCTCTTTTAATATGAATAAAAACTTTTACAAGCATATTAGTGGGTCATAAAGTTCAATTTTTAATTTAAAAATCCGTATGACATTGTTTAGAACATTTCTCATATAATTATACTAGTTTTTAGTGAAACAATTCCAACTTTCAACATTTCGTCTCACTACTTGTAGTGTTTACCTAAACCTCCCAGCTTTTTATTTTTTAAAAACCGTTTCTTTAAGATTTTGGGAAACTTGAATATGTAACTGATTTACAGCATTCCTTTTTTTGATTTCCTCAAAAGTTAGTTTTCAACTATTAATAAATTAATAAAATTTTAATTTTTAGAAGTATTTAGCTTTAATATATATATAACCTGAAATGTGAATAAGCTATTTAGTTTCTTATTAACGATATTAATACTGCCATGCTGATCAAAAAACCACGACGTAATTGGAAAGACCGACTTAAACACGCTACGGACCTAAAGTAAAGGCCTCAGTCCCTTGACTCGGTTTCATGATGGTAAACCCAAGTCTCATTCCTAGTTCATGACAATGCTTCATTACAATCTTTAATTCTTTAAAAAGTACTCCAGATGTTGGTGACAGACTCATATTGTATCATTGTTAGCGAATGCGGTACCCATTGTTCCTTAAGTTTTTGAAAACCCAAAAACTGTTTATAAAAATATATAATATGATAATTAAAATTATTTAAAAAATATTTGTCAGTAATTAAATACTTAGATATTTTACTAAAAGTTTTTCATTTTTGATTTTATCGTCATATTTTATTTATGACCGCAGACATTATTTTATCTAATAGAAGCGATTATATTTGAGAGAGGTTTCGAACAGTACTGAATTGCAACAACAAAATTTTTTATTTATTTTTAATTAATTGAAATTTTGGCTGACCATACAGTTTTTTCGAGTATTGCCAAAAGCATGGGATATTATGAGAAAAGTTTATAGAGGGCTTTAAAAACACTTTGAGGTTAATTAATCATTATCAATTTAAAGGACACCTCAATTTTTTTATTTAAAATATTCCACGATTCTCAAATATCAACATCAAAACTCTGTGCGGCAAATACATCCAATTTTATTTTGTTTGTGATATTTTTATATTTATTATTAGCTAAAATAGTTTTTGTTATAAAATTTTGCTTTCTTCATTGCAAATTTATTTAATAATTTTTACTATTTTGGGCGTTGCACGTGATATTTCGGTTTTTTTGATTTTGAAGTCTCACATTTTTGCGGCAGGTTCCATCAACAAAATAACGCCCAAAAATAATAAAAGCAAATTTTTATTTCATTTGAAGTATTTTTTTAAATAAATTTCAATTTAATACATTTTGCCCAAATTTCGTTAACTCTGCTTTAATAGATGTTTGATATTTGATGGAAATTCGTTATATAATCTCGTGATCAATC